TATCTCAAAAACCTGATGTGATAGACAAAAACTGATGCCAGATTTGGAATCAGCATCCCAAAATTACCTTCAAACCGTTGGAATACCTTATGCCAGAAAAAGTGTGTTGACCAGTGTTAATCATGAGATTACATTATCTGGAATGGGTCGTGCAGCTGGCCTCGGCCACTGCCAGCGATGATAATTATCACGGCTCGGCTCTATCTCTCTCTCTCACGCAACTGCTGCTCCTGCCATTCGCTTCGTATTGTTGCTCAACAACGTTGTTTACACTGTAGACGTGTCCACGCTGATGTTGGCGAGCCGGTGGATGGCTTCACGAGTTGCCCGATGAACATTTAAAATTGTGGCGGTGGTGTCGTCACACGCATCAGGGCTGGCAGGCATCGGGTGCGTCTAACAGTGCAGTTGGAATCATTGTCTAGAGTCTCATCTGAGCGTCAGTATCGACTTTGTAAAACTGAAGGCAAACTTCGGAAGCGTCGTATTCTTGGTTCTTTCGGTAAAGTTACGTAGATAGAAAATAAATTGTATTATTTTTTATTTGAATTTTATTTCAAAATTTTTATTTGTTATTTTAATTTTATTTTCAATCTACGCGACTTTGCAGAAAGAACCAAGAATATGAATTCCTGCAGTCACGAAAGTTTTAAGTCAAAATTTAAGGAAGCGTCTTTGAGAATCTGGGTTGTGATTACGGATCGGTTGATAGACTAATGTCTACACTTTAAAATATCCCAATGAATGTATCAAATTGTGCGTGTAAGAATCGTTTTTTTAAAGCTAACGGAATGAACAAAACTGTTGAAATTACAAAAAAGAATGGGAAACAACACAAATGAGCCTATTAAAAAATATTTTTTTATTATCCTATCATTGTGGTAGTTGTCGTGGCCTCGAGTAGCAGCATGGGCCATGTGAACATATCGCAGGCAACAAAAACGTAAATGAAAAAAAACCACGTGGATTCTTACACGCGCGGTTCGATGTCTGAGCAACAAGGCATGGAGAGTTGGAATTTATCTGGGGACAGGAGGAACACGTGGATCAGGAGGGTTACAGACATCGTGGTGACTGCCAACGCCGCTCCCAGACTGTGGAACGCTATGCCTTTGGTAATAAGGCAGTCAAGAATTGCTGTTGAAAACTCACCTCTTTAAATTTGGTATTCATCCCCTAGTTCTGGCCGTGTACCCTGGTTCTGTTTATTTCCTGCTTACCACACACGGCGCATCGGGATCTACGGATGAAATGCACACCGTACAGACGTAGATTTGTATTATTACAATTCTTTTCAGAGAAATGCAACTGGGCCTGGGCAGAACAGGTCACCGGATAGTGACGGCGGCTGGGTGGTCGAGACCCAACGAGTGACAGCAAGACGAAAGTAGGGAACGCTCTCCGAGAGAAGCAGCCACCGCAGAGACAGATCGTGTGCCCGATGGATTGTTGTATGGCAAGACCACGAGAGATGGCTACGGACTGGCGGAGACCTTAATCCCGCTGTGGATTGCAGTGGGTCGATTATGGCTGATGATAAGATTTTTAAAATGTACATTCATCAACTAATCGATGCATCATTACTCTGCTAATGTGCGGTAGTGTAGCGGTTAGCGCTACGCTGCGCTACAAACCCGGCGACTCGAATTCGATTCCCGCTCACGGTCAACACCAGCGACGGTTATCTGAACGGGTCCTGGGTGTCCCCTAGGTCGACTCAGCCTCAAATTAGTACCTGGTGCAGTGTGCAAACATCGCCACTAGGGAGACAAAGGCGGCCGGGCGTAGTGTTGGCCACCCACCCCCTCGTGTGCCGTGCCGGCCTTCATAGGTGCTACTCGCTAACAGCACTTACCCCTGCAGTCTGTTACAGGCTACACGGGGGATCTTTGTCTTTGTGTACCGTTCGTGCACACACGCAGCCACGGACGGACCCGTGATGTGTGCAAGGAACTTGCTGGAGGTGGCTTTTTGTTGTTGATGAGGACAATAATTGGGCACCCAGTTTGGATCACTCGAGCCTGAAGGAAGGAGACAGCGCGACTGTGGAGAATTTTGCGTGGGTTTAGTGAAGTAAAAGACCCTGTCTGTGGGAAAAAAAAGAATTCATGAAAGACTTGAAAATGTGTTTCATTTATTCCACAGAGACATCCACAGTAGATGTGACTCATTGTAGGCTTTTATGAAGAAAAAAAATCCAGGTCTGTTTGCAGTCGTATCTTAACTTTCTGCGGCCTGTGTTATGTTAGAATAAATGGAATGTTCACTTTTCACATCCATTATTTTCCTTACCCCAGCTGCCACCGAGACTCTAATCCAATCCTTCATCGCATCTCCGGCTAGACTAACGCAACTCCCTCCTCCTTCACGGCATCCACGAATCTCCCCATCATCAAACTCCAGATGATCCAAAATGCGGCTGGCAGACAGCTCACCCGCACCCGTAAATGAGACCACATCACCCCGATCGCTCCACTGGCTCCCAATACAATCCTGGATCCATGTCAAGGATCACACTTGCCGTCTTCACGGTCATTCCGTGGACTCGTCATTGCCTCTCACTCTACTCCCCCCCCCTGCCCCCTGTGAACTCTATGCACCAGCAAGGCATTTCGTCAAAGCCCCCCAGTTGGTTTAACACGTGGCAGGCTGTCGCGACCAATATCATCCATAATAGAGGTTTTTGTGTTATATTGCGTAAATATATGTGTCGTTAAGCCCACCACCACCCGACACAGCCAACTAGTAAGGGTTGTCACGTAAACAGAACGTGCCAATTCGTCACTAGTACAGAACTAGTGTGTAGTGTAGTGTATAGTGTAGTGTGTAGTAGTGTAGTGTGTAGTAGTGTAGTGTATAGTAGTGTAGTGTATAGTGTAGTGTACTAGTACAGCACCACCGGCGTGTTGGAGAGCCAAGCCACAACATTTACAATCTGAGTACGACGTTTCGCCAGCAATTACAACTAGCTTCATCAGGCGACAGTCCAGTTGACCTCTGCTCAGCGGGATAATGCTTTAACTCCTCTGCTCCTCCAGTCGTCTGGAACTCCCTTCCCACAAACCATCCTCGCTGTGGAATCCCTGCCACCGTTTTCTAGTCCAGGCTCAAGGCCTCCTCCCTTCATTACCTCTGGCTGTGGCGGTATTTCTCTCCTTAACATGAATAAAGATCTTGATTTGAAGCTTTCGTGACTGCAGGAATCCATACTCTTTGGTTCTTTCGGTAAAGACACATAAATCACGAGGTTTCGATCGCAACACAAGCGATCGAAACGTCGTGACTTTCCCGAAAGAACCAGAGTATTAATAAAGATACATCCCCTTCCCAGGGTGTTCATGCCCCCAACGTTCCCCGTTCAGCGTCTTCAGATGCAATCGCATTTCGACGTTACATGAATCCGAACTTTAGTGCGATGTAAAAATAATAATACGTCTTAATTAAAAGGAGAGAACAATGTGACATTTGCACAATTATATGCAGTTTAATTAAAAACGTTTTCCTAAACGAGATTTCATTTTCACGGAATCTCACTTTTGCATGAAACGCCAAAGTTTAATTCTTCAGCCTGTGCGAAAGGAAAGCCAATCTCTGAGTGTTGAAGTCGCGACTGCGTTCTGTCACCTTGACATAATCTCCGGCAAAGAGAGACACGATCCTTTTAAGGCAGATCGGCCTGTGGCCTAAAGTAAACAGAGACGAAGGGAAACGATCAGAGAGAGAGAGAGATGGGGGGGGGGGAGCCCGCAGGCTTCGCCAGCTCCAGGCGGTGGCAGGGCTGAGTGTTGTTTAACGCTCAGCTGATGAGGCACACCGCCAGGGTTGCCACCTCCGGGCCTACGACAACAACAAACCAGGGCACAACAACAACAAACCAGGGCACAACAACAACAAACCAGGGCACGTCGTCAGTGCCTCATTTCCGCGCCGCCCCAAAACACACTGCGCGGAACGCACAGGGCTGCCTTGTGGGGTGGTGGTTGTGGTGGTGTGCGGGAGCGGTGGTGGTAGAATTGTTCTAACAACACTCATTGTTATAACACTAATTGTTATAACACTAATTGTTATAACACTAATTGTTATAACAACACTCCTACAACATCAGAGTGCAGCGCCACATTAAATACGCACTACAATGAGAATAGTTTAAAGCGATTTGAAGCATGTTTTATTTTCAAAATGGAAATATGGTTTCGGGGGGGGGGGGGGGCAAAGCTTTGTGACGTCATATTTGAGGGGGGGGGGGGTCTGACTTTTTGTGACGCCGTGTGACGAGGGGGGGGGGTTAAAAATCGTCCAAAGTCGCGTGACGTCATTTATGGACGGCCCCTGAGCTGCTGCGAGGGACAGGCACCCTGTCCCTCGCTCGAGGTCGTCTGCGAGCGACATTATTGGGGTGGCTGCTTTAGGTCAACAAATCGGAACAGGGTCTCGATCGCCAATCCGTGAAATGCCGTCGCTGGGCAAGGCGACAGTGAAATGATGTCCTCTATTGGAGGTGACTGGGGTCGCTGAGCAGGTTGGTACAGTGTCAGGGCCTGGCAACACCGATATCCTGAGTTTCAATCCGGATTTTAGCCACCATTCATTAAGCGGTCTCATGTGTAGTGAGTTGGTTGTGTCAGCCCAGTAAACAAAAGACTGCACGCAAAACAGACATATCTGCTGTTTCACTGACACATTCCAACTTTGAGAATTTATGATCTTGGTCCCATTGTCGTATGACAAACATTTTCGTTGCAGGGCACTGAAAGGCGTTCCTCTGGTGTGAACAATGAGGCCTAATATAGTGATTTAATTTGCGGCTGTAACATCATTTTCAGGACTCTTCTTTATTTTTGTAATGAGGAAGTGAAAAGCCGACCGTTGAGGGCGAGTGTCGACTGCGCGTTCTACCAGAGCAAAGGAAGATGTGAAGTGCGGTGCTATTCTAGCGGTCACAGTCACGACGTCTTAACATCGAACTTAAACCATTTCATTTTTGTATTGATCGTGCGCAGGTGAGCTGATATCATCGCCCCCATCCCACACGACGGACGCACGGACGCTCCCTCCCACGGGCAACGCGAGCGCGACCTCCGACCCCACCACCACCGCCGCCACCACAAGGGGACGGCCGCCGTGGCATCTCCGCCCGCGGGTGGCCCCGCTCTTCCCCGTGCCGGGAGCGGCCGGTTCGGCGTGGGCGTGCGGAGGCCCCGCCGGCGTCGGCTCCAGCCTGGCGTACGGCCTGGGCGCCTGCTTCGCGCTGCTCGCGCTGCTCTCCCTGGCGGCGCTCGCCCTCTCCCCGGGCGCCCGACACTTCCCGGCGGCGCGCGTCCACTTCGCCGTGTCGAGCGGCGCGGCCCTGCTGCTGTCCTCGCTCAGGGCCGCGTCGCTACTCTGGCTTCAGAGCGAGCGATCGCCGTCGCCGTCGTCGTCGTCGCCGCCGCCGTCGTCGTCGCCGCCGCCGCTGCTCCCGCTGCTGCTGCTGCACGACGCGGCGCTGCCGTGCCCCGGCTCGGCGCTCGCCGCGCTCTTCCTGGCGACGCTGGTGGCATCCCGCACGCGAGTGCCCCTGCTGCGCGGGACGCCCGGGCCCCTGGCGCTGCTCGTCGCGGTGCTCGCTCACTTCGCCCTCTCGCTGGCCGCCGCCGCCGCCGCCACGGGGCTCACGGATGCGGCGACGGCGGCGGGGCCGACCGCGGCGGCGACGCCGCCGCCGCGCTTCGAGAGGCGCGGCGAGCCGCCCGCGCCGTCGGCGGAGATCGGCGGCGGCCTCGGGCCGTCCCTGCTCATGGTCAGCCGGGCGCTCTCGGCCGCGTGGGGCCTGGCGCTGTCGCTCGCGTACGTCGCAGCCTTCCCCGGCCTCCGGCGTGCCATGCGCTGCCGGCGCAAGGAGCTGCGGGCCGCCAGCCTGTGCAAGACCAAGCTGTACGGCCTGGCGCTCCACGGCGGCCCCGCGGGCGGTGGCCTGCAGGCGTCCGGCGCCGTGGTGCTGCTCGTGGCCGCGGTGGCCGCGCCCTACTTCTGCCTCTGCTTCTACGCCGCCATCAGCTCACAGGGGCTCGCTCGCTGGGCCGGCGACGACGAGGAGGAGGGCGACGAGGGTTTGGCGATGGCGCGGCGTAACGCTCTCCTCATTTGCCTGCGGCTGGGCGAGCTCGCGCTCTGCCTTGCCGCTAGCGGACTGGCGCTCTACCTCCGCCTGCTGCACGTGCGCTGGCGCGACGTGGCCCCGCGTCGCTTCTTGGACAGCGGCGTTCGCTTGCCTCCCTCGGCGCCGCGGCACCAGCAACACGAGGCGTCTCGCAACGGCGGCGTCGTCGGCAACGGCGGCCTCCTCCAGGTCCACCCGGAGCTGCTGGACATGATCGACCTCAAGGGCAGCATCTCCAGCAGCTGCCGCTCGATGGAGCGCAGAGACAATGGCGGCGGCTGCCTCCAGGACAACGCGTCGGTGTCCGAGTCCTTCATCTGCGTGCGGATTTCAGAAGGCGGCGGCGACGGCGTTGGCGATGAGCAGAGCGGCGCCGGGGGTGGCAGACAGCGGTCGGTCAACAGCAGGCACCCTGCCCACGTGGGGGTGGTGGGCAACGGGCACGGCGGGCGGGGAAAGACGGGCGGCAAGGCGGAGGTGCGGAGGCGGGAGGTGCAACGCGACGGGGAGTCGTGCGCGGGAGACGACCCCGACTTCCCCATGCACCTGTCGTGGAGCGAGACGCTGCCCAGCTGCTCGCGGCTCAGGCAGGCCGAGGCGTCGTATCTGCCCGGCGCTTGCAGCAGCGACGACTCGTCGCTCATGCTGCTGGGATCCAGTAGCCCGGACTCGAGCAGCGAGAGGAAGCGGCAGGGCAGTAGCTACGAGCAGCAGCAACATCAGCAGCAGCATCAGCAGCAGCAACAACAACAGCAGCAGCAACGGCAGCAACAACAACAGCAGCAAGGCCACTATTCACCAGCCTGGTCGGCTCCGCAATATGACAGCGAGGTTTCGGCGAGATCCATGGGCGGCTTCCGATGGGCCGATGCTGATCCGGAAATTCAGGATGAGTTTCTCCAAGTGTGCCGGGATATTGACCGACTCTCAGACAGCATCCCCATGTGACGGCTCCTCTCGGCTGTTAAACGAGAGTCGAAGCTTATAGGGTCGTGACCTGAATATTGTGCACATGGTTTTATCCGGTGTGTAACAGACAACCATCGACGAGAGTGAATGTTAGGTTATTCACTACTTTTAAAAGGGGCTTTGGCTGCTTACCATTTAATCACCAGCCATAATCTTCTGCTGGATGAAGGCCTCCCCAAGCAAATGCCATTTCTCATGATCCTGCAACGTAATATTTCAGCAAGCACTTACACACGATCTTATTTGTCTACTTATTTAAATAGATTATCCAGCGGCACAACGTAAATTTGTTATGCTGCTTTTTTCCCGACATGCCCCACCTGCCCGAGCCGCTTTCATACCACCTGCTCGCCCCACAAACGTACAGACATGAGCATTTCGGCAAGACTTAAAGACATAGTTGTTTGTTGATGTTTCGCCCCCACTGAGTCTTAGACAGGGAATTCCAACAGCTATAAAAATAAAACATCGTCGAGGACTGGGCTCCGTCAATATCCTTTTGAACGTTATAAATCAAACGCAGGAATCGTCGCTCTACGAAGAGGGTTGGGGGGGGGGGGCAAAAGGAGGCCCTCGGTCATTGAGGTCATTTTGAAGAAAGCCAGGCCACCCAACAGGACAGCGGTGAAGCAGAAACAACCAGGGACAGCTCGCCTCTGCATGAACCAGATGAAACGCGGATATTTTTTGCCTAATTTTAGAGGTAACTTACGTTGAAAATTAAGTCCATGGACACATGATGCAAAAAATTACCAATTTCTGGGATGCTGAAAAATCTGTACGGATTTTGTCATTTGGAACAAAGTCTCTCATTTTCATATTGAGACAATTGTCTATTATAACGATATTACATATTTCTCAGCAAGGCACAGCAGTGACTCTTCTTTATTCAATTACAATCTGTATTCTCGAACACAATTCTTGGAGAAACTGTAAAGCTCTCGTTCCTGTTGAACTCAAATTGGCCAGCCGGACTGGCGGATTTCACTTCATTTCCTGTTTTTGTGATGAAAGATCGTGTATGCAGATATTCTATCGGTTGGCTGACCAGTGGAATACGATTCTCATCTCTGTTATATCTGAAAAAAATGGGTCTTGTCAAGACCGACTGAAGGGGAATTTGCGCTGTGCAACGAGAAATATTCCGAGAATTAATATTATCGGTGCTTGTTATTTATAGAAATCAACTCCCCCGACCCATGGATCTCGTCGACTGAAACACTGCCGCAGACTGCGCATATCTCCAAATGTTGGAGATTTATGAGAAAGCTTCCCACTATTTATGGATTACACAAACACGCATATTGACTGCCATACTATGTGGGGCGTTTCCCCCCCCCCCTCTCCACATAATTTGTGTCAAGAGATGATGTGATTGTTTAAACGTGTACGTTGAACATAGACATTGTTAAACCCCCCCCCACCCCCCCGATTTTTGTCGACATGATACACTGCCGTCTGTCGACGCTAAACTTCTTACAAGTTGCGTGCGAGCGTTGTCTGCCATGACCTCTGCTCTGAACGGATGAAGACTTAACCGTTAGTCCTCGTCTTTACGACCCCGTCCCATTGCTTGTGCTGATTTCAGATGTGAGCCTGATGCCACCATTACCTCCCTGAATAGGGGACGTCTTCTGCTGTTATGTTGGTTTGTGACAACATCCCGGCGGATCAAAAAGAGCCAAAGCATTATTTGTATTCCTCTACTGCCGAGGCCTTGAAGACACGGTGCCATTTTGCACTACCTCAATATTGCAGCATTCACTGCACACCACACAGCTACATTTTAGGGCCGAGTTGACCGAAGGAAGGTCCAGGGCTGGTATAGATTCCATATGCCGCTGATGTTGTCGATGGCTGGTAAGTGAACCCAGGTGGCTGGGTTCATAGTGCAGCGAGTGAACCACTGCCAGGTGGTGCTGCAGTGCGAGGTGACTGGGCAGCTCGTAGCTGCGAGCTATCACCACCGAATGTAGCGAGTTGATGGTCTGAACCCAGTCACCAAATGACTGCAAAACCCCCCAACAAATATGGTTCCGCACTTTGCCAAGCGACAGTTTTACTGTTGCATGATTGTCACGTGACAAATATTAAGGGTGGGTGGGAAAGTGCTGCCCCTACTGTGTGGACCAAAGGTCGCCTGACGTGTTCTCAGTATTGGTTCTGTAATAGCCTCTTCTGCGGGCCGTTCTCTAACAAGGGGAGATGTACTTCCCCTGCGAGAGTTCTGAAAAGACATTTCATCTCATGACACCGGTATCACAATCGGCATACAATTGAGGGGCAGTGGGGGGGGGGGGGGGTGGCGGTTATTGAGTAAACGTTTTAAAATTACTGAATTTTTTTCACAATTGTAGAAATTGTTCATTCAAATCCCACCATCCGTCTGGAGTCAATAAAACAAGTACTGGAAGTCCACAGTGATTTGTTCTCTCACAGGAATGTGGATATCCCCACCATTGGCTCAAGGCTGCCAACTGAGAAGCACCCAAGCGCTTGTTACAGCAGACAATTTGGAGATTAGACCCCGGTGCCTAACCCACACCTCCTTTATAATCCGAGCCTATGGGGCACATAACGGCAACTCATGTGAACGAGTCAAAACTTGCACTAGCTGCCCAATTAGGGCTGAAGAGCATCAATACACAATATGTGTGCCCATCAATTCATCAGTGTGCTCATCAATAAAATTGCACCACTGAAATGTAAACATTGGTGTCACTGCTATTCACGAAACCACAAGCAGCACCTGAATGCTGTTTCACGAGGAATTAACAGTTTAACATGCTGAGAGGCACCTTTTATACTTTTTGAAAGGACAGAAAACACAGTATATGGAAGCGACATCTAAACTCTAATACACAACTTAGCACAGAGACCTAAGCTAAGGAGTCTATCATTTGGCCATTATTAGCCATTTGAAGGAAAATCCATGACTATAGCTTTGAGTGGGTAACGGATTAGCATGGTTGGCTACGTACGGTGCGAAAGAAGTTCAACATACATACGCTCAAACCTAATGTTTTTATTTGCTCCCTTGTGATTCGCTGAATTCTAATTCTGGATCATAATAGAATCTAGTGGCTGCAGAATTTACCTAAAACTAATCACAACATATACGAATAAAAATGTATCTAACACGCACAATAGATTTGAATTGATGCGTCATTACATGCCAACTCATACCTCATCGATGCCTTGCTTTGTGAGCAACTTAGACTTTTAAATTGCCAATAACAAATGCTTCCTTGCCTCTTGGCTGCAGTGAACAATGTAAAGTTATTTAAATACATATGCTCAGCATTTTGACTAATTTCTGCTTTTTTCTTAACATGGCACAGGGGAAAACAACGGACACGGCCCACAATAATCGTCTTGTGCATTTCGCTTTTTTAATGTTGAGGATAATACTGGATGCTGTAGCCAGTTGAGTGTTTTTCTTAATACTGAGTGTTTGATGTCGGTGTGTTGTGGACAGTATTGGATGTTTGTGATAATTGAGTTTGTATCTGAGTGTACTTTGTGTTATGTGTGGAAAATAAATGCTGTAAATAAATGCAAACCAAACAATGATTTTATTTAATGCACAGCCTTGTAAACGGGACTGATGTTACCGACTTATAATAGAGCCGAGTTTATGCGGTATTGTCAACATACAAAATGTACCCAAACACTCCACACGTCCGTGTTCAACTCCATGAGGGTCATGTATCTACATTGCATACACACAGTCCGAGTGAATGGAAGTTTCCCTCGACCAATGACATAAAGACCAATACAAACCTCAAGGGACATTGAGGACATTGCAAGCATCATAAGCCACCTCCTCCCACTACGTAGATTCAACGTGGCAACACCGATGCCAGTGTGCTGTGACTTCATTACCAAACAACCTGCACAGGATACATCATCAGTGTCAATTACATAGGCTCAGCCTATTAGAGATGGCACAGAGCTGACTTAAACATTAGCCGTATGCAGCTCAATACCGGTTTATTATGTCTCGTAGTAATTACATTGCAGAATGTGGTGGTGTGGTTAGGGAGTGTAACTCTTACCAGAAGGCGGATGTCAACTCAGCCCACATAATCCTTCTGGAGGTAAATAAAATACATAACCACTTTGCAGCAAGTCAGTAGTTGTCAACCTGTGGAGGGAATGGCTCCCACGATGGGAAACGTGGAATTTTCTCCCCTGGTTCAGGCCTTTAGCAGGATGTGGCCCACTCTGCTGTTACTCCTTTGAGCAAAGAAACAATTGAGTTAACGTTAGTGGGCATGTTACACGGCCCACTCTGCGCAAGCCAGTGAAAAAGTCAGCCCGACAAAAAAACCGCTGGAGATTGATCGGCCATCACGGCACAATTGAGGCTTCAGCCTTCGTGCCGAGAGATGGTTCGGGTACTGCTTCCTTGCTGCCCTCGTTCGCTGTTCCTGGGCTGGGCACCGCAGCCTCCATTGGCCGTCGATCGTGATTGTTATCATCGTCGCCGTCGTTGTCCCCATTGTCATCTTTGCCGTCGTCGTCATCGTCGTCCTCATCCTCTTCGTCACCTCCTGTGACGTCTGTGCTCATCTCCTCCTTGGGCGGCTGCCAGTGGTATCCCGACGAGTGGCGGTATCCTTCCAGCGAGTCTAACTGCATCGCCTCGATGCCTGCGGGTGGGAGGGTGGGTGAGGGTGGTGCGATTGGGTCAGGGTCACTCGTGCTGTAATCCAGTGTTCTTCACTAATTTTCAGAGGGGGGCCACTTTCGCCGATAAGGCATCGGTGCGAGAGCCGCCACACCGCCTGCAAGGGGTGTTTTCCAATGTTGTGTATTGTCGGGGGCTGCACGTCAGGGGCCGCACTAAAGGCCACCGGAGCCGCACTAAAGGCCACCAGGGGCCGCACTACAGGCCACCAGGGGCCGCACTAAAGGCCACCAGGGGCCGCCAGTGGCCCACGGGCCTTGCAATGAAGAACACCGCTGTAATGGTACTTGCGACTGCCTCCAGTACAGTAAAACTCCCCTTTTCTGCATTGATATTGGGGGTGCTATTGGCAGACACCGTTATCTACAACTATCTGTGAAAATTACCCCATAATTCAACGTGGTTAACCGTGGATAAAAGCAAACGGAATGAATTTGCTGCCAGTTCTCGGTGACTGCTCTCTTCCTGGGTAAAACATGGATCGGATAAATATAGCGCTTCTGGGAAACCACTGCTGGATGACTTGTTATCCAGACATGTGTGGATTAAAAAATACATTGTCAGAGTTCTTTAATCCACCACTGGTTGAAGGCCTCCCCTCATGTTGTGTTGGTCATGGTGGTTGTTTGACATACTTCATCATCTTCTTGGTTCTTTCGGTAAAGTCACGTAGAAGGGAAGTAATAAAATGATAAAAATAAAACATAATAAAATAATTCTCACGATGTTTCGGCTACAACGCAAGCAGCCGTCTTCAGGTGAAGAATGAGACACTACCAAGCTAGGAGCTTATATATACGCTGGGTTGGAGGTGCAAGAAGAGCGCCTTAACGAAAAGAATGTGCATATGAAGAGGAATTTAGCATATTCATGGGAAATGCGTAGGAGGTGGGCGGGGGGGTTTCAAAGTCATATTATGCCCATGCATTATGCAGGATCAGCAGCACCAAGGGAGGGTGTACGGAGTAGCATTAACAAAGGAAAGGAATGTTAATAGTATGTAGCTGCAGTTACTAAACAACCACGTAGAAAACTAAAGTATAAACTACATAAAAAACTAAAGTAAACTAAAGTATATGTAGTTTATGTAGTTTATACTTTAGTTTTCTACGTGGTTGTTTAGTAACTGCAGCTACATACTAATAACATTCCTTTCCTTTGTTAATGCTACTCCGTACACCCTCCCTTGGTGCTGCTGATCCTGCATAATGCATGGGCATAATATGACTTTGAAACCCCCCCGCCCACCTCCTACGCATTTCCCATGAATATGCTAAATTCCTCTTCATATGCAGATTCTTTTTGTTAAGGCGCTCTTCTTGCACCTCCAACCCAGCGTATATATAAGCTCCTAGCTTGGTAGTGTCTCATTCTTCACCTGAAGACGGCTGCTTGCGTTGTAGCCGAAACGTCGTGAGAATTATTTTATTATGTTTTATTTTTATTATTGTATTACTTCCATTCTACGTGACTTTACCGAAAGAACCAAGAAGATGAATCCCTGCAGTCACGAAAGCTTTAAATCGAAAAATATACTTCATCATGCTGATCAAATTAGGTTGGTGGAGCCGAAGAGCTCAGAATTAGCTCAGATATCACTCGTCACTGATATTAGCAGTGGCCGGGAATCAAATTTGTGGCCACCGGGGTCATAATGCAGTGCGCTACCCACTGCGCTATCATTAAAATGTGGTCCAGTTTTCAATCGCATTTCATGAGGTAATATGTAATGATTGAAAACATTCTACTCACAAACTCAGTTTTCCTAAAGCATTCTATTCTGATCTACCTTTTCAACAATTGGTGCAGGTATACATAACCTTCCTTCTGTCCCAGGTCTGTTTCATGTCAGAGTGGGGAGGCAAAGGAGGCTGAAAGTACAACACACAACTACCTTGTTCCTTTGCGAACACGTGACGTTACCGGATAAATCCAAATTGTCTAATTCGGTGCTATGACCTTGACTGTCACGTTTCAGGCACCGGTGAGTCAAGGGATAGTCGTGCCTGCCCTCCCTCACTCACTGCCGCCCCCTTTATCTCACCAGAGACGGGCTCAGATGATTGCCTTTCGGATAGGAACGTTCGATGCATGAGCAGCTTCTTGGCTGTGTGACATTGGTAGCTCAAGGCCGTGCCCTCCGACGCGTCCCCAGGACCTGTAAAACAAGAGAAGCAGCCGTCATCGTTCACGGCTCAGCGACGCGTATCGTGACAGCTTCAACGCTCCTTTGTACCAGGCTTTGCGTAATACCCAGACGTCACGTGAGGATGAAATCACCCATAGTCTAATTGAGGTAACGGATGCGTAAACTTTGTTTGTAAGCAGGTGAGAATCCATTGAGACAAGTATGGCACAATATATCTCAACACATACAAAAGTAGTAACTATTTTTATTTTATACCTACGTGACTTTACGGAAAGAACCAAAGTGTATAGTAACTGAACTTAAATCAATAAATGTGGAAAAAACATGTCTTTGCAATGTGCATTTTAAGAAAAATGCTTTGTACACAATATGTGCAAGGAGTGTTAAAACAACTTGATTAAGATTATACATTCAACAGAAATAAACGCAAAATGTTCAAAATTCTTACATAAAAATATTCGGCCAAGCCAAGCTACCTGGGCACCATCAAGAATAAGTCAAAGATGATGACATATGTGGTATTTGCCGGGAAATGGCTTTGTGAATTTCCAAAACATTTACATTCGTGACTGCCAATGAATGATTGCCTGTGGAATGAAACTTGAGAAATGGTAAGGAATGCCCAATAAATTGGTTTTCCCACAACTTGTCACGAGGCGAATCATTGGCCATGCTGGTAATTATTAAGGAGTTAAACAAACCCAACTCCTCCTACAATTCCATGAATTGTCGCGAGTCAGGGGTCCCAATTTGCTTCCACAAATGTATTATTTTTGTTAAACGGAGGGGTGAAGCAGTGGCCACTGGTGGCTACAGGGGTCACGTACACCCAACATACGAATCAAAACACATTTAGATTTAAAGCTTTCGCGACTGCAGAGATTCATCTTCTTGGTTCTTTCGGTAAAGTCACGTAGAAGGGAAATAATAAAGTAATAAAAATAAAACATAATAAAATACAATTCTCACGACGTTTCGGCCACAACGCAAGCAGCCGTCCTCAGGTGAAGAACAGGGCTGTCGGAAAGACGGAAAGACAGCCCTGTTCTCTACCTGAGGACGGCTGCTTGCGTTGTGGCCGAAACGTCGTGAGAATTGTATTTTATAATGTTTTATTTTTATTATTTTATTATTTCCCTTCTACGTGACTTTACCGAAAGAACCAAGAAGATCAAACACATTCTCAAACACGCAATTTGATGCATGTATCGTGATCATAAAAAGCTAAATTAATCAGTGATCCTCAGGTCATTCCACAACTTCCTATTTTTTTAATGTTTATTATATCTGCTGCTCTACCTGCATATAAATACATGTGTAGATATTCGTGCTGGGCGATTACTATAATTGCTAACCCAGAATCGCGATCCAACTATTGAAATGGAATACAATTTCCAAGAAGAATGAGGGATCGTTAAAGACTCCTGGATAATCGATATTTTCTATGGGGCATTGCCAAAGTGTACCACCTAAGAGGTTATCCTTGAAATTTTCACCAAGATTCCAATTCAATTCAAAAGAGACTCAGGAGTTTCCATTGAAAGGCATGAGAACTATAAGCATGACTGCTAAACTGTCAAAGAATCCCCGTTCTTTTGATGTAAATGCCAACATCCCCATAAAAAATATTGATACCGTTAGAATCCCATTCAAGTAAAGGGAGATTTTACCTTCAGTATCATACACAAAATCACGATGCCTCAAGTATTTCTCAGCACTAATATCAAGTTATTTATTCCTATAGCAGCATGAGATGTATTACTATCACAGAGGCTAGGAAATGGCTGAGTTGATATAACAGCAAGACATTAAGTCATGAGTCTATGAATTTAAATCCTGGTCAAGGTCGTATGTATGTACGTTGAACCTATTAGCACCGTACGTAGCCAACCGTGCTCATCGGAGGTGCGGGTCAACCTCGTTTGTTGGAAGTCAAGTGGTCGTCCTTGGGTGGAATAGACTGACCTCGGTCAAAGAAATGTGGGAATTGTCACTAATAGCCGAGGACCATCAACTGAAAAGAACACCAGCCAATGCTTGAGTACAACAGCGATATTATGACTGACCATACCAGGACCTTAGAGCAAACGATGCTACTTTACGCAATGTTAATACAGAAATGCCAATCAGTCAATCCGTTTTGCAACACTAACCTGAAGTGGAGTTTTCTTTGAATAACACGCACGTCCCGAGTGCATCTGTAAGCAAGTGCAAAAGTACAGGACGCAAAATTACAAATGTGTTTCCATGAAAAAAAACAAGCGCAAGCCAGACTCACATTTGAACATGCAACAAATATCACACAATTTTGACGTGTACATAGCATTTAAATGCAACCGCATCTGAAGACGCTGCACACAAACAGTTGGCATTCCCTTTAATAGAGCGGAAACCAGTCACAGGCAGAGGAACAAAGGCGGTTGTTCAGCATGCACTTGAACTAAGTCATGGAGTCGACAGCACGGATAACTCCCAAGGAAACCACACATCCAGGAATGTTGTTCATTACCTTCGTATCGACCAGCAAAGACACAGCCACCCACTTGCATGATGGGTTCATCCGTGTCCACCCCCTGCAGGCAGTGTGGACATGAGAATGGACAACAGTAAAGCTGGGTTAGGGTAGAGCAGAGGTCGTAAACGGGTTTTGATTCCTTACCCGTACCCGTACCCGGCCGCACCAGGGTCGCAAACGGGTACCCGTACCCTACCCGATACCAGGCTACCCGTACCCGGCCGGGTATCGGGTAGGGTACGGGTACCCGATTGCGACCTCTGGGATGAAGCCATGTTGCAGGCGCGGGTGGGTTGATTCTAGGAACTTGAATTGTGAGAAGAGACAAGACGTTGGGAAATGAGTGACAAACGGTTACTCACCAGTGACTCACGGCCTACCAGTACCCGTACCCGGCCGCACCAGGGTCGCAAACGGGTACCTGTACCCGGCCGGGTACGGGTAGGGTACGGGTATCGGGTAGGGTATCGGGTACCCGATTGCGACCTCTGGGGCAGAGCTTGTCAAGACTTCCACCTCTTGCAATTGACTATGGTCCAACTTCCATGTTCACCAGCCTTCTCCATTCAAATGAGAGTAAAGATTGCATGGCAACCGATGGTTGGTCAAATTTGAGATCTGGACCACTAATAAGCAACTTTGGAACAGGTTCATTTTCAGTGACTAAATGATCATGAATGGGCATAATCTCATCAGAAAATATAAGATAAGCAGGGCTGAGCCTGGGAGACGACCTGAGTATACGAGGTATTGTAGGCTAGGAATGCAATACTGCTTGATGACAGCACAGCTATCAATCTCAGTAGAGCTTTAAGTGTTAGCTCATGACATGCATGGATTTCCTCCAGGAACACTTCCAATTGTCAAACCCTGCCTAATGAAATTTTATCAGCATTGCAATGCAGAACCCTCCTGAAAGAGATTTGAAGACTCAGTAAGGCTTTCCTTGGTGAAGTGCATCGTCATCATTGTAACCACAACACATTAAAGCCAGTTATGATCACCAACTATAAAGCTGCTTTCTTCTGAGATCTAAATAGGGGAAAGCAACATCAATAATGTAGGGCTATTTGCAAGTCCACTGCTACATGAAGGGCTCGCCATGCTGTGTTGGTCATGATGGGTTGCTGGCTCAAACCTCACAATGTGTGTTGGTGAAGGGGGGCCAGAACCAGTTCATATATCACTGGCCACTGACATTAGCCATGGCTGGCTTCATAGCGCAATGTGCTGTAACCACTGTGCCATCGTTGCCCTTACAGGGAGATATTATTCCTCTATTTAAGGAACGAAACAGGATTTATCCACAAACGTGGCTGTCCACCTGACGATGCTAGTTGTAATTATTGGCAAAACGTCATACTCAGATTGTAAATGTTGTGGATTTGCTCTCCAACACACAGGTGTGCTGTACTAGTAACGATTTGGCGTGTTCTGTTTACGTGACAAAGCTTACTAATTGGCTGTGTCGGGTGGTGGCGGGTTTAACGACACATTTATATTTACGCATCTAACCCAAAACACCTGTATTATGGTGATATTATTGCACACATTATACATGATGTGTGGATAATTGAGTTGTATCGTGAGACAACATCGGGAATGAAGGAAGAGATGGATGAGAGCGTGAGGGGACCTCATTCACACCAGCTTACTTTTTGTTAAATATTGCACGTGAACTTTCATTCATCAACTTGGGGAATGTATACAGCTAATTACACGCAAAGGAGAAATTAGATGTTACAATAGAAGTGTTTGGCGTGCGTGCAGGCGTTAATCCCTTGGTTGCAAATCAAATGTGTTGGATCGATGTCAAACTAAACCACAAATCAGCTTTGGCTGGCAATACACAGCTTGTATCACATAGCACATCCACGGGTCAAGTGGAAAAATTAAAATGAAATATTACAACCTAGCAGAGAGCAAAAAAATGCAATGCTCTGCTGAGCATCACAGCATGCAATGGAATTCCAGGCACTCACTTTATACACACATTCAGCTTGGAACCTTTACAGACGTAGAGCATTGCTCTGGGAATTGTTTTAACGTGCCGAGGTATTTTTTTAATCCTGTTCAACAGTTTGGCTCTTGTTGGGACAATAACACTGCAGCAGAACATATTTTTATCATGACACAACAAAACATTCCAGTTCATCTTAAAGACAATTCGATTAAATCGGTTTGAGAGTTTAAGGCCAGCCATGGTTTGAAAGCTCACCATCTCTTTGCGGTTGATGCAATCGAAATTAAATTTGCGGGAGTTGAATTTGCGGTTGTCATGCGGATAAACTAATTACCACAACAACAATGTGGAATTGCCTACACTGGCGAAAGACACGTGAACGCCGATGGGTGGCGGTGGCGCACGCCTGTAATCCACGATGTTGGAACCGAGGGTTGGTGGATTGCATACATTTTACGCAATATCCTTCTTATGGGAATCGAGCCTTACTCTGGTTTGCCAATAGAAGACAGTGTATACTAAAGCAAGAACTAACATCACCTACTACATCTGTGTAGGATAAGAGTATTGCCTCCTCGCAAGTGTGGGTTTTCTCCGAGTGCTTTGGTTTCCTCCCACACATATACACTCATTAATCGGCTGAAAAATCGTTATATATGCACCTCCGTGTTGGAAGATTGTGCAGCATTACGATATGCAAATTGCATGAATGATGCATCATCATTATTATTTTGTCCACCCATCACTCATTTCAGTACAATGTTACCATAACTTGACATTCCCAAAAAATGGCCCGCAATATATCAAGCAGAGCTAAAACATTGGGTAAGCGCAAACTCACATAGCCTCCACTGACCAGTATTTTAAAGCTGTTGTTGCACTTGGCCAGGAAATCCGAGTCTATGATGCCAGACAGCTCAACCACCACGTATTGCTCCTGGAACAAGATGAAAAGCAAACAAAACGAGCGTGAGCAGTGATCATGTTGACACCTATTGGTGGAATGAAATATTGCCCAATTAAAACCCACGACGCCGATTAAATAGTTTTCATTTTAGGGCCACGGTGTCCTTGATAAATGTGTTGAGTTTTGTTTGTGTATTCGTGCTTGCGCAGCACTGCCAACCCAGCAGCAGCAGCGTGAGCAGAGAATTTGTAATACTGTTGTAACGTCGCCTAAATTGTACTACATCTAACCAGTAACATTAGCTTCATACATTCAAGAGAAGACTCCGACAATCGTGTACATTTGAACCCAAATGGGTAACACGATTTAGTAAAATATACTGCTCCACAATTGCAACAATCGAAAGCGTATCTACCTTCACTCTCATACTTGTATTATTCAATTTTTATTTTACCAGGTAAGGCCCACTGAGCGATACAGCTCTTTTTCAGAAGCGACCTGGCCACAGATGATAGCTCAACGAAGTTGTTCATCGTGTGGAAATGTAAAGCAGCCACATATTCCAAACGCATGTTTTTTAAATGTGGAGGGATAACCCGGAGCAAAATCCCCACGACCACGTGCAAACTGCAAATATACAGGGGTTAGGATCGAACCTACCACCTCCTGCATACCAGGCGAGGTAGTTAACATCTCACCACTTCATGTAGGGCTCTCACAACCCAGCCGCTCTCTCTCTCTCTTCCTCTCCAGGCTTAACTCAACTCCAGCTGCCACTCCACCCCTTTGTGTATCTGCTCAAATCACCACCGCCTTAACTCTGTTAACCGGCAGCCTCATGTCCGTCCGCTGATCCACACCCCACGTAACACCCACGCACGGCGTTTCATCCCCGCTGTAGCCCGTCAATTCCTCGTATTAGTCTGAACTGGAATGCATAACGACACGTTCTGATTCTACATTACGCGGTTGACGCAAGGACGTGGGATGCGTTGTTGGAGGCTGTCTGGTCGCTTTCGCCGGGTGATTGAGCCGTGGCTGCCCGAACACTCGTTACTCCGTTTCACGTTTCACGCTTCTCATCTCACGAGGAGGTGCTCTTTAAAGGCGGACTCAAGAAAAATACATTCCTGCGGAGGGAGCTGGTAGGAACGTTGGGTTGCTCGGTCAATGGCCAGGGTCAACGGCGGCGTGGTGTATTTCGCAAATATGCCCGACCGTGAGGGTGGGCACAAGCCGGCGTGAGTAGGTTAAACGTTGAGTTTTATAAGGGCACCACGGGGTGACCAGCCCCTCCCCACCCAGCCCCACCCCACCCTCCCCCCCAGCCCCTCCCCTGCCACCCCCCACCCAGCCCCACCCTCCCCACCCAACCCCTCCCCACCCAGCCTCTCCCTGCACGACGGACAGACACAATAATCCCTTGTGGGCTGGTGTAACCAGGAGGTTCCTACCAATATAAACACGTATATGCTTCGGTAACGAGAACAGAAAAAAACAACCTTGAAAGCTGCGGTAAGGCGTTGCAATGCAATAAATACCCAGAAGACAAGCAAAGTTGGCCCAAAGTTGGCATGTCATTGGCCAAACGTTGGTTTCACGTTTGGCATTTGGTTGGCCCAACTATGGGATGTGGTTGACCCACGCGTTCCACAGTCAACGTTGTCGTGACGTTATGAGAGCGCGATAATGAACTTTTAAAGTTTTTATTCAACTTGACTGTGTCTATCGCGTTAACTACGAGTCAGGAGCTTGAATCATCCAGCGCCAATTGCCGTGGGTCGGCTGACTGAGACGGCTGGCAGATGCCCCCCCCCTACTGCGCCAACTTGCTGAGTTTTAGTCGCCCGACGCTCCGCTCATTGTTGTGAGCGTCGCTCCTCTGCGCTCCGTTGTTGCTGGAGGGCGACTGCCCTTTAACTCCCGAGTAGCAGCGTCCTTCAGAAGTCTCCTCCACAAACAACAAAACTTAAGACGACAAAAACACGAGAGCAGTGAACGAGTGATGCCACGGGTCCAGCATCTCACCTCCATCAGTCTAAGACTCTGACCCTCACAACTGACCCTCGCCACCTGCAGGCTAAGACTCTGACCCTTACCACTTGCAGTCTGAGACTCTGACCCTCACCACTGACCCTCACCACCTCCAGTCTGAGACTCTGACCCTCACCACTGACCCTCACAACTGACCCTCACCACCTGCAGGCTAAGACTCTGACCCCCACCACGTGCAGTCTGAGACTCTGACCCTCACCACTGACCCTCACCACCCCCTGTCTAAGACTCTGACCCCACCACCTGCAGTCTGAGACTCTGACCCTCACCACTGACCCTCACCACCTGCAGTCTAAGACTCTGACCCTCACCACTGACCCTCACCACCGCCAGTCTAAGACTCTGACCCTCACCACTGACCCTCACCACCTGCAGTCTAAGACTCTGACCCTCACCACTGACCCTCAGCACCCCCACTCTAAGACTCTGACCCTCACCACCACCAGACTAAGACTCTGACCCCCACCACTGACCCTCACCACCCCCACTCTAAGACTCTGACCCTCACCACTGATCCTCACCACTGACCCTCACCACCCCCACTCTAAGACTCTGACCCTCACCACTGATCCTCACCACTGACCCTCACCACCCCCACTCTAAGACTCTGACCCTCACCACTGACCCTCACCACTGACCCTCACCACTGACCCCCACCACTGACCCTCACCACCCCCACTCTAAGACTCTGACCCTCACCACTGATCCTCACCACTGACCCTCACCACCCCCACTCTAAGACTCTGACCCTCACCACTGATCCTCACCACTGACCCTCACCACTGACCCTCACCACTGACCCTCACCACTGATCCTCACCACTGATCCTCACCACCCCCACTCTAAGACTCTGACCCTCACCACTGACCCTCACCACTGACCCTCACCACCCCCACTCTAAAACTCTGACCCTCACCACCACCACTCTAAGACTCTGACCCTCACCACCCCCAGTCTAAGACTCTGACTCTCACCACTGACCCTCACCCCCACTATAAGACTCTGACCCTCACACTCTCACACTGACCCTCACCACCACCACTCTAAGACTCTGACCCTCACACTGACCCTCACCACTGACCCTCACCACTGACCCTCACCACCACTCTAAGACTCTGACCCTCACCACCACCACTCTAAGACTCTGACCCTCACCACTGACCCTCACCACCACTCTAAGACTCTGACCCTCACCACCACCACTCTAAGACTCTGACCCTCACCACTGACCCTCACACTGACCCTCACCACTGACCCTCACCACTGACCCTCACCACTGACCCTCACACTGACCCTCACCACTGACCCTCACACTGACCCTCACCACTGACCCTCACCACTGACCCTCACACTGACCCTCACCACTGACCTCCACCTCCTCCTCCCAGTCGCCATCGCCCAACTCATCGCCGCTCGCCATCGCGAGCCGCAAATCCCCACAACGCATCGGCACGGGGCTGCCGTCTCCTCGCTTCCCATTGGTCCGCGCGGCGGATCGTGGCGGCTCTCAGCCAATCGGACGCGCGTGGGCTTTGCTCATCCGCACTATGGTTTTGAGATAGATGTGACGTCATGCGTCGGATCCTTAGGCTTCTGTCGAAACCGGTTCCTATAAACCGGTTCGGTTTGTTCATGGAACTAATTGACAGCCTGACTGCTGATGAGACACGGAAAATCGAGATCTTCACTCAAAACTGCTCGAGAGGAGTTGTACACCCCGAGCTTGCCAGTGCTATTCAGTGGCCTAAAATAAAATGTTTCGCTCCGGATGATGGCTACAAAGTATGACCTGTGTTTTGATTTAGTGTGCTGATCTTAAAGGTGCATTGAAACATTATAATACTCCTACTGATGCTCCTGCTGTTGTGGAGTGACTCAAGCAGCCAGCTATGTCTGCAGGGTTTTGATAGTTGTACATATTGTTTATGCCATTTATTGTGAAAATTCCGTCACAGTTCCTATGATTGCTTTTTCATTGCTTTCATGGCTTTATTTTGGTGATTTCGAAAAGTGTATTGGTTTGCCAATGTTTGTTGTAGTACAAAGTTAGACTGATGGCCTTAATCTAAGTTGTCTTGTTGTTGGTTGTTTGACTTGCATCCCACTGGGATTTTTGCACACAGCGTGTTTTTTTCTGCAATATTTTGCTGTCTTTTCTTGGATTTTCTGTTTGCACTTAGTCACATATTCACTTTAAGATGTTTTTTGTTCATGTTTTTGTTTTTTGTTTGTTGCGGTTGCACCCGATTCAAGAGCCGAATGGCTCACAAGGCTATACCTAATACATTAACTTGAACTTGACTGCTGATGAGACACTGAACATCGATACCGGTTCAGTTTTCTTATCGAACTAATTGACAGCCTGACTCCTGACGAGACACTGATAATCGAAACCAGTTCGGTTGCTTGTTGAATCAATGTAAGCTATAATTTACTGACGATTCACTGAATATCAAAACCCGTTCAGAATTCGCTTGTTGAATCAATGCAAGCAAGCCTGGCTGCTCATGAGGCACTGATAGGCAAAACCGCTTCAATATTTGCTTGTGTTCAATCAACCAAAGCAAGCTATATGTTCGTGATGAGGCACTGAATGTAAAGACTGATTTAGAATGATTGTGCTGCACCAATGTTGCTGCTACCATGCACGCCTAGAAAGTCGTTTATCTAATGGGATGTGTAATAAATTAACCCGTAAAAACAATTTTTTTCACTCTAAATCCTTTATATGCGTGGCGGCTAGTCCTCTCGTCCTCTGGCTTGAGATGGCTGCCACCTATGGGTCAGATGATTTTCTGCCAGCATTAAGCAATTGGTAATTAAATATTTTTAAAAAATTCCCTAAACAGTGTAAAATTTTGGAAAAAAAATTTCACGAAAATAAATTGTCACGCACAACGAGTCTGTGTGCAAAATGTCAGCTCGATTGGATCACGGGAAGTGGGTTAAAAAACGACCGAAAGATTTGCACGGTCGTAAGCAAGCAAGCACGCAAGCAAGCAAACTTAATATAAAGGATTTAAAAATACTGAGATGTGTTTAAAAATAAATCAATGGATCAATGTGGCTCAAGTTATTACATTTTACTGTATTATACTGACACGCCACGAATAGTATAAGCCAAGGCCGTAATTATAATTATAATATATTCAAATATGCTCAAAATGTCCCTCCCCCCATTATATTGCTATGAAAATGTTTTAAAATAAATAATTGCGATGCTATGTAAATAAAAACAAGAATTTGCTAAACCGTGGCCACAATATCTGGACTTGTCTTCATATAACAATGCATAGATTTATGTTTATATGATTGTGGTTGTACTTTATGAATCCCTAATCTCTGCCATGACATGCCATGAAACAAAAAAAGGTAAAAAAACAGCAATGTAATACAATACACTATTAAACATTATGGTAAAAAAAATCCATCCCATGTGTTAGTGAATTGTTTTTTTTATTTTAGGCAGGAAATTAGTTTTCAAATTTATATATTTTTTCTGGGGGGGGGGGGGGGGGGGCCCAGACACCCTGGAAGATTTGATCCCCCCCCCCCATGTTGACTCCATGGCTACGGCCTTGGTATAAGCATGTTTTACCCTTTATCGCAATAAGACAGCCGTCAACATGTTAATACACCAAACAGAAACCTTTTGCAAAGAACCATGTCTGCATTAACAACACGTACTTGCGGTGAACATGCAAACAAAAACATGCTCTGGTAATTTATTTGTATTGTCTTTGAAACGGATTTGTCTACACCAGAGACAGCCTTCTTTAGGGCCGAGTCTAACTAACTGCAGCGTTAGACGAGAGGACACCAAAAATGCGAACAAGCCACGAATATTTCTAGATTTGAAGCTTTCGTGACTGCAAGGATTCACACTCTTAGGTTTTTTTCGGTAAAGTCACGTAGGTAAAAATAAATAATAAATAATATAAATATTATTTTATTTCTATAATTATTTCTATATTTACAAATAAATAAAAAGAAATAATATTTCTATAATTATTTGTATTATTACAAATAAATAATATAAATAATAATAGAAATATTATTTTATTTGTACTATTATTTATTTTTATTATTACTTATTTTTACCTACGTGACTTTACCGAAAAAACCTAAGACCACGAATATTTGCCATGGGAACAAACTCGCAGCATTTGTTAAGTTACCATCTCGTTTCCCCGGCGTGTTTTACTGGCAAGGTGAACTTGCGACCCTCATCAACATTGACAGAAGGTCAAGGCAAGTCGCACACGAGGGCACTGCTCCGACCATTTGTCGATGCTCAGCCCTTAGGGGCCGTCCATAAATGACGTCACGCGATTTTGGACGATTTTTGACCCCCCCCCCCCCTCGTCACACAAAGTCAGATCCCCCCTCAAATGACGTCACAAAGCTCTGCCCCCGCCCCCCAAATAAAACATGCTTCAAATCGCTCTAAACTATTGTCATTGTAGTGCGTATTTAATGTGGCGCTGCACTCTGATGTTGTAGGAGAAAACATTTATTAAAGTCTATTTAATCAAGTAGAACGTGTGTCTATATTTATTTATAAAGTTGCGCATTTGGATGTAACGTCACATTTCTCAACCCTCGTCACAAATGTCTGACCCCCCCCCCCCCTCCTAGGTGCGTGACGTCATTTATGGACGGCCCCTTATTTCAATCCTCCACTGCTTTACGAGGGGCAGTGGAAGTGATTTAAATCCACACTTCACCGGGCCGGTCAGTGCCGCTTGAAGACTGTGAGAACAATTGGTTTTCCCTGCACTGCCATCTGCTGCCCACAACGTGACCCTGCCACCGTAGCAAGCGAACCGACCAGGGCTGGTGTTCAACTCGGCAGCGGTTATGTATCCATTGCAAGTGGTTGGTCCGATACACTTATCCAGATAGCAACATGCAAGCAGGGCAAATGAAAGGAGCCTCGTCACATACATGTAACCTATTCTTGGTTCTTTCGGTAAAGTCACATAGAAGGGAAACAATAAAATCTATATATATAAAATCGTGAATGTCTGTCTGTCCGTCTGTGTGTGTGTGTGTGGAGTTCGGACCATACGCACTTTCATTGGACGGCGGTTGCCCCTGGCAACGGCTAGCGACGCCTTCGCCGCTTTCATTGGACCTGGCAACGGCTAGCGACGCTTTCGCCAAGGGCTGCAGTTTCATTGGACGGCGGTTGCCCCTGCCAACGGCTAGCCACGCCTTCGCTACTTTCATAGGCTCCGTAAATAATTAAATAATAGCCATTACACAGTATTGTTCGAGCGCTAGGGGGGGGGGGGGGGGGGAAGGCACGCCACCCGTACCCTGCCTCTGCCGGCTGGACAATTTTGGCGAGGCCGCAGGCTCTGCACGCTACTAGGCCTCGACACCCACCACGCCACTCTGAGGTAAATTCATCTAAGTTTTTCCTACTCTTAACTCCACCCCCACCACAATGTGTGCAATTAATATTACTTTTAAACCCAACGCGCCAACAATCGATTACTTAAATGTTCACTGTACAAATAGTCACTAAGCTGGGTCAGCGTACTGCCAGTCTATCATGTACACTCTAGCCTGCTTATGTAGCTGACTGCGTGTACTGGCAGTCTATAATGTGGACTGTAGCCTGGTTATTATAATCGATTCTTTATATGTTCTTTGTACAAATAGTCATTAAGCTGGTTGAGCGACCCCAGTTCGATTCCAACTCACGCCCACCACCGCTGACGATTATTTGAAACGGACCTGGCCCTCCCATAGGTCCACTCAGCCTCAAACGAGTAACTGGTGTCGTGTGTGAACATCGTCACTGGGGAGACAAAGGCGGCCGGGCGTGGTGGATCCAAGTCCCGGGCGAAGCCGGGTCATGTGTATGTGTGTATGTGTTTATGTGTATGTCTGTGTGTCTGTATGTATGTGTGTATGTATGTGTGTGTATGTGTTTGTGTGTGTGTATGTATGTGGGTTTTTTTCTGTCTTTATGTGTATGTCTGCGTGTCTGTATGTATGCGTGTACGTGTGTGCATGTGCTTGTGTGTATGTATGTGTGTGTCTATGTATGTGTGTGTATGTGTTTCTGTGTATGTATGTGTGTGTATGTATGTGTGTTATGTGTCTGTCTGTGTGTCTGCATGTATGTGTGTGTGTATTGTGTATGTGTTTGTATGTGTTTGTGTGTTTACGCTCGCATTACACAAATGTGTTGCAGGTCTAAGGCGTTCCTCGCGCAGCATTGCCGCTTTATTATTTCAGTCGTTTACTGCCGTACGCACCCTGACAGTCGTGTGTGTCTGCAGCAAGCGCGTGTATGTGTACCTATGGACGCGCGCGCGTGTGTTGTGTAGGGGGAACGGTAGTGTAGTGCTTAGCGTGCTGCCTGTGTCTGTGTGTGTGTGTCTGTGTGTGTGTCTGTGTGTGTGCGTGTGTGGTGTGTGGGGAGCGGTAGTGTAGTGGTTAGC